ATGAAAAGGGCACTGCGTGTGGTGACACAGGCCTGTAATCTCAACACTCAGGAGGCTGAGGCAAGAGGATCACCTGGGGTTTGAAGCCAGCCTGGTCTACATAGTGAGTTCAAAGCCAGCCTGAACTATATAAAAATCAAGAAATAAATACAAAATAAAACGGACTGGGTTGTAGCTCAGTGTGAAGGCCTTGGGTTCAATGCCCAATGCCACCAAAATAAATAAATAAATCCATGAAACTATACAACACAGCTAGGCAGGGTGGCACATATCTGTAATCCCAGCACTCAGGAGGCTGAGACAGGAGGATTTTCACAGGTTCAAGGCGGACCTGGGCTACATAGTGAGTTCAAGTCCAGCCTGAACTACAGAGCAAGACCTTGTCTCACACAAAAACAAAACAAAACACCCCCCAAAATTATATAACCCAAAAAGAAAACTTTCATATAAACTACGGACTTTAACTAATGTTAAATAAAAAGTATAAAAGGCCATTGTCTTGAAATAAACTTCTACAGCACACCCCAAAAGTGTAGCCTAAAAATCAAAATAAGAGTTATTTGTGCTGAGGTTCCCTGTCCCCAAGCTGAAACTGTACTGTTAACAGACTTTTCTAGAAATTAAGAGACAGAGATAATAGCCACTATTCCCAAACAGGGTCTGGGGAATGTAGCTTCCATGTATATAGCAGCATAATTCATAATAGCTCAATCTTGGAAACAGCTATGTCCCACAGAGGATGAATGGATGAAGGAAATGTGGTATTCCATGATCTAAAAAAAATCTACACCAAGATATGTAATACTTAAGATTCCAGAAATTTAACATAAGAACAGAACACTAAAAGCTATTAGAGCTGGGAGCAGTGGCACAGACCTGTAATCCCAGCACTTGGGAGACTGAGGCAGCAGGATCTTTGTGAGTTCGAGGACAACCTGGGCTACAAAGTGAGCTCAAGGCCAGCCTGAACTGCATAGCGAGACCCTGTCTCAAAAAGGCAAATAATAATAATAATAAAGCTGTTGCAGAAAAGAAACAAATCACCTACAAAGGAAAGCCCGGCAGAATCACAGCAGACTTCTCAACACACACCCTCAAATCAAGGAGAGCTGTGAGTGAAGTATTTCAAGCTCTGAAAGAAAACAACCCCCAACCATTGATGTACCCGACAAAAATACCTTTCAAAATTGGTGGAGAAGGCCGGGCATGGTGGCGCATGCCTGTAATCCCAGCACTTAGGAGGCTGAGACAGGAGGATCATTGTGAATTTGAGACCAGCCTGGCCTACAAAGTGAGCTCAAGGATAGCCTGAACTGCATAGTGAGACCCAGTGTCGAAAAGACAAAAAAAAAAAAATTGATGGAGAAATAAGATACTTCTGTGACAGAGAACACCTGAAGAAACATGAACACCAAACCACCACTCCAAAATGTCACTACATCCTCGTAAAGGGAACAATCCAAGAGGAAGAGATAACAACCATAAATACATATGCACAAAATACCAGCGAACGCAACTATATAAAACGAGCATTGATGGACATGAAAATCAAATAAGCACTAATACAATTGTAATGGGGGACCTCCATATCCCACTGTCACAAATTGACAGGTCAACTAGACAAAAAAAATCAGTAACAAAATATCAGAAATGAACTAAACTTTAGAACAAATGGACTTAGTAGATGTCTACAGAGTGTTCCTATAATATCACAATACACATTCCTCTCAGCTTCACATGAGACATTCTCCAACATAGACCACATTCCAGCTCATAGAACACGCTTAAGTAAATGCAAAGGAACTGAAATTATACCACACTATTATCAGACCATAGTGCAATGAAACTGGAAATGAATGAAAGAAGAGAAACCACAAGAACTTCAGAAACACGTGGAAATTAGATAGCACCCTCCAGAACAACCAACAGATCACAGATGAAATTAAAGAAAACTTACGCAGTTTCTGCAATTAAATGATAATGCCAGTACAACATACCAGAACTGATGGGACGCGATGAAAGTAGTCCTGTGCAGGAAATTTAGCAGCAATTCTCACATCAGAAAAACAGAGTGAGCTCAAATGCAAAACCTAATGTTGAACCTCAAGCTTCTAGAAAAAAGAAAAGCAAGTCAAGCCCAAAGCTCACACGAAGGAGAAAACTATAAAAACTGGAGCAGAAAATAATTCACTGGAGACTAAGAAAATAATACAAAGAATCAATGATGGGGCCGGGGATATAGCTCAGCAACACAG